GTGCATGTTTGGGGGTAGGGAGTATGGGAAATATCTCTGTACCTTCCCTTCAATTTTGCTGTGTACCTAAAATTGCTCTAAAAAAATAAAGTCTTAAAAAAAAAAAGAGGAGGAAGGTACGGTGGGGGTGGGAAGGGCTTTTATATCAGATCGCAAGGCTTATTTAAATTTATAGTGATTAAAACAATATGTCATTAACCAATGGAACAGAATAGAGAGCAGAGAAACAAACCTATTCAAGAACTTGGTATATTAGAGAAGTGACATTAGAAAGCAGTGGAGAATGAATGCGCTAGTCAAACAAAGGAGTAGTAGGGACAACTGGCTAACCGTAAGGTAAATAGTAAAAGTAGATCTGACACTCCCACACAAAAAATTCCAGACAGATTAGAATCCAAGTGTAAAAAACAAACCTTAAACACTTACATCCCTACTGGACTGTAAGCTCCTTAACTTAAGAGTCTGTCTTGAACAGCTGTGTATTCAATCCTATTATATATATATATGTATATTCTTAGATGATAGAACATCTTTGTAATTTGAATATCTATGATCTCAGTGTAGGGGAGGACTTCTTAATATACAAATGGCACAAACCATAAAAGATAAAGTTGATAAACCTGATAACACTAAAACTAAAAATGCCTGTGTAACAGAAGACACCATAATTAAAGTTAAAAGACAAGCCAAACAACTGGGGAAAGATATTACAGATTTGGTATATATAAAAACAAACCACCCCTTCTGACCTATCTCAATAATTCTATTTTATACACTAAAGGCAATTTTAGTCACACTATTAGTCTCTTAGTAAAGGTCAAAGTACACACCCTATAAATCTTAAGATCCTGCTTAGCTAATAGTGTTTAGGATAATTGTTGAGTAGACATAGTCACTATAGGTAAAAAGATTAGTGTTAATCACATAGTCACTATAGGTAAAAGGATTAGCCTTAATCACATAGTCACTATAGGTGAAAAGGATTAAAACACAGTTAAGATAAGTAGATCTTTTAGCATAAGAAAAAGTCAAGCTGTACCCTGGAGCATAAGAGTTACAAGGAAGTAAAACCCTGATCTAAACTATGTAAAAGAACTTTTTACTGATGAGATAATGGTCAACTATAAAAAGGGGCATGCTGTAAAATAAAGTGAGACACTTCTCTTGAAAAAGCAAAAAAACCCAAACCAAACAGAAAGTGGGTAAATGACAGAAACAGGTACTTCAGAGAAAACCTAGATAGCTGAAAAACATATAAACAAGATGCCTAGTCTCACTAGTAATCAGGGAAATGCAAATTAAAATAATGAGATATCATTGCACACCCATTAGATTGGGCAAATATTTAAAAGTCTGATACAACTAAGTGTGTGGATGAATATATGGGGGGAAAACCTCTTAATGCTCTCACAACCCACATGGAGAGGAACTGGCAATAGGTAGCTAAGTTGATGAACTTCTAGGAGTCTACCATAGAGAAATTACTGAAGAGACACATTTAAGAATGACAATTGCAGCACTGTTTGTAATATGAGAAAAAACAATGCAACAACTATCTCTCAGTAGAAATAAACTGTGGTTTAATTATATAATGGAATTCATAAACAGTTAAAAATGAATGAATTAGATTTATATGTATCCAAAGGATACTTCTCAAAAGCCATATTGAATTAAAAAGAAAAAAGGACATCTTTTTTTTTGCTGTTAAGACCCCGAGGCAAGGAAGTTGCACAAGGATAGGTACAGTATATTTAAAAAACAAAAAAGAAAGAACTGATATTATTTTCCAAAATCCTATGGAAAAAACTGACTGTTTGGACTCCCCAAACAGATAACGTGTTCCTTCTTCGTCTGCACTCACTGGAATCCTACACATCCTTTAAGGATCAACTTAAAATGCCACCTTCTTCAAGAAGCTTTAGTTGATTACCCAATCTGAAATTACTCTTTCTCTGCCCTCCCACAGCACTTGGTTTATATCACCTATGTGACACGTACTACAGGTGTGAAAGACTGTACACTTAGAACATACCTCTCTTTTAATGTCTCATTTCTACTAGAACATGAGTTCCTTATGGTTAGCAGCACTGTCTTACCCAACTTTATATTTAATTTAATAAATACAATTACAGCGTTGGTTGAAAGGGATAAAAAGTTTAACAAGACATGGTTCCGGCCTCAAGGAGGTTATGTTTATGATGCAGTAGAGGGAGACAGACATAGAAGTAATTATAATAAGAGTTATAAAAGCAGCATAAACAGACTGCTATGGATAACAAAAGTGGGATTGTATTCCGCTCAACGCCTTGAAAACAGGCATTCACAGCGTATTAGCCTAACGAATTGGTAGACGCCAACGGAAGAAGGGTGCTTGCTGTGAGGACAGACGGCCTATAGGAACAAGATGAGATGGAAAATGCTTGCTTTTCTTCCCTCCTTAGGCAACGCGATCGGGTGCGAGTTTGATGCAGGAGAGTTAAAGAAATAGGGGCAGGGTCTTAAGGGTCTGCGTGGTGAGGGTGTTCGGCCCGAGGCAGGTTTGGAGTATGCTGGAGAAGGAAGAGGTAAGATCCGACTGGAAAACGAATCAGCACAGTACCTTTCTCATTGCGAACCGGGACGGCCCCAGCCGTGGACTGAATGGGCGGTTGTTTCATGAGTGCGCTGGGGACCGACATGTTGATGACAGCGGCGGTACTCCCGAAACTTCACTGACTTCTAACAGCTACAAAGTCAACGAACAGAAAAGTCCTCCACACCTAGAGCCACTGGACGCTGCTGCGCGACTGATAGAAACAACGTTTACGGCTGAGGTTAGAAAAACCGGAAATACGCATCAAGAGGATTGTGGGATTGTGGAGGACTTATGGACGCCTACGGCTTGAGCGTCAAGTCTGGGACTGCGCATGTTCATAGTGAGCCTATAGTGTTGAGTCTCGCAGTATTTGGACGCCGCTTCTGGCGGGAAATTGCTTCCATTAGGCTTTGCTGTTAAGATCTTGCGGCGCGGAAGCCCCAAATTAAGGGTTTCGTTTGTTAGTTTGGTTTGAAGCCGAGATAAATGGGATAGTGTTGAATAAGAAACTGCGGAGATAGTTAAGGGTAGTCTGTTGAAAGCTCAGATTTAGAGTTTAGTTGGAAAAGAAATCCTGCTAGTAGCACCTGATTTAGCTCAGTTAATGAGGCTGAGTGGGTTGTGGTGCAGTATATTTTGGTGATGTGAGGGCAGGTGGTGGTGATTTAGGCCACTGACAAAATAAAATAATTGTCACGTCCTGCGTGGCAAGGGCAAATGGGACACGAGAGGGGTGACGCAGATTGAATAAAAAGAGACAGAGACAGAAATAATATTTAAGTGCGAGACCAAGGGACTCAGCCTTCAGAGAGTCAGACTGAGCCACCGAATCGGGTCGACGCTTGGTTTTTATTGAGAAGTAAAACTGCTGTTGATCAGATTAGCATCCGTTTGAGGTCTGTGCCTCAAAGCCTTATCTATTAACATATCCATTATGTTCCAGCATATGCTATGCCTTTACATATCCACCACATAGCCCCAGGACACCTTGTTACTGTGGCCTCCCAGAGGAGATTAATTGTTAGCGTTCCAACAGGTCCCAATACACCTTGAGACACTCCTCCCAGGGAGTCTTATCGGCCTCTGGTCATACCGAGGCACTCCCTCAGAGAGGTTACTGCCTCCGGTCATACCTAGGCTTTTCTCTCATAGCTAATGGGATTAGAGGCTAAATGCAGGGGGACATGTTTATAGAATTCGGCTGTCAGGCAACAAATAATAAAGTAAAATCAACAGAGGGCCTTGGACAATGCCTGAAATCTGAACATTCCAATTTTAGGCTTCCCAGTTGTTTAAAAGTTTTTAGAGACTGCCTATTAAAACATTCCTGGCTGGAAAGTGTATGTAAGTCCATAAATACTAAGTACTTGTTGTGTTTACTGTGCTTAGCTCTATATGGAGTATTAAATATTGTTGAAAGAGTCGTGTCTTCAACGAGCTTGAATTTTATTCAGAAAGTCTTCAAGGGCTTATACAACCGTAACAAGCAATCGCAATTTACTCAGCTGGGTTGTGTAAAAAACATTGGCTAATTGGAAATCAGAGCACATTTCACTGTAGAAAGGATTTTATAACTGCTGTGGTAGGGAGAAAAGGGACAGCATTAGCCAAGTCTTGAAATCCAGAAACAGTATATATCAGACACTGAAAAGTTTGATTTTATCAGTGATTTTTGAGTCAAGGAGTGGTGAAATTTCAGCAGGTACTAACTAGGTCATGGAGGGCCTTGCAGGTGCTGTTAATAGGGTTGGTTCTTATTATTTCACCTGTGTTCTAAAATTGGACCTAGGCTGGGAGAATGAAATTGAGCAAGTCTCCAGCAAGGAACAGTGTAGGACCCAAGTAATCAACCAAGATAGCAGTTTTGGGCTAGAAAGAAAAGGACCTTAAAAACCGAGTAGACAGAATTTTATATTTTGAATTTATCAGCTCCAAAACTATTCTGTACAGAGGGAGTAAATCTGTTGGGAAGGTAATTGTTTTGGCTCTCGGCAACCCAGAAAACAGGAAGAAAAAAAAAGGGGGTTTTAATATGGCTGTGTCTATAAGAAATACAGAGCACTAAAATCTGATGTTAGAGATACAAAAATTATTTGATTCACTACTTTTCCCCAGCCTTTGGGCTTTGTAAGGTCATCAATCATTAGTCTCTTAGTTAACTGGTGGGCAGATGATCAGGTGAAATTTAAACCAGCTAAAAGTTATCAGCTCTTGAAAAAAATCAAAATGCTTCCCTTCCTAGGAAGAATATGGTAGCCAAAGGGCATAGTTTTCTGGTGGTGGGGTTATAAAGAACTACAGGGCCTGAGGTAAAGGATGCATGTTGATTTCTTTCTTTCTTTTTTTTTTTTTTCCTCTTCTGTGTTCCATTCGGCATCTAAGTGAATCTGAATCCTTTCCAGGCTCACATTGCAAGGAAAGGTGTTTTTTTCTCAGCAGAAACGCCAGTGTTTTACAAAGCGAGCTCCTGACACCAATACCATCAAAATCACCAGGATGGAGGTAAAAATGTCCATTCTGTCTCATCGCATCCTTAAAAAATTTGAGTTTTGGATGACGTTGGTAAGCTTGCTTTAAGAGTATGCAGTACCTCGCTCGCGTGCAGCCATCCTGCGGCCAGCTGGGATCTGAGCGCGCCGGTTCCGCCCAAGCCTCCCCAGCGGGAGGTCTCGCCACGCCCGGCCCCTCCCACCCCCGTCTCCAGCCCCATATTGGCAGGAAGGCGCTAGCTCCTAAGCCGCGAAAAGATGTCTGGGTCCTGCGCAGCAGCTGAGGAGACGGCGGGCTCCAGACAGCGACTCCAGAAGAAGGTGAGAGACGCCTTGTGACTTTTGGGTGTGCTCCTGCTTCAGTCTTCGTGAGGCGTTTGCTGGGCACAGGCCCGGGGGGGCACCAGGACCAAGCACCCGGCACTTGCCTACTTCAAAAACTATTTCCCTCCCTTGGGGGCATCTTGCAGCTTAACCGGCTCTTCCGGGTGTTGCTTCAAAAGTGAAGCGGGATCCCTGCCCTGGTTTTCCTCTCTGGAATCTAGGCTTTCGGTGTTGAGGAAGGTTCTTATCAACTTGAGAAACAGTGGCAAGATGGGATCAGGGACTCTACACTACACTTGCTTTTGCAGCAATTATTGTCAGCTTTCCACTCTTGGAACAATTCTAGTTAGATGCTAACAGAGTAGTCTCCTCAGTTACAAATTATAGTCATTATTATTATTGGTCTGATAGACTTACATGGGCAAGAAATGTGTCCAGGTTAATGAATTAGGTATCTAGCTTTTGGATGGACAAAGTTTCCTTATAGGCTATCAGTTTGGATTTATGTTGTCTTTATGAAATAGGAATTAGATTTATTTACACAGATCTGTAAGAAAAGGTATAGGACCTGGGATTCTAATACTCTCTTCTTTTATTGATCTGAATAGGTGAATGAATATAAAGAAAACCAAAACATCTCTTCTGCATCTCTGAGACCAGCACAGAATACAATTTTAGAAAAAACAGTTAAGGTGTGTCTTGTCCCCTTTTCACTCCGTAATTACAAACCAGGCCAATTTAAGCTCCCCAAATCCCTATTAGAGAAGAATTCTAACAATGAATTGCCATGTAAGAAATACAAGAAGGCTGAAATAAAGAAAACTTGTACAAGGATTTCAACTTCAAAGATGGACGCCACTACATCTTCCAAGGCAGAATCCACTCTGCAAAAATCATCCGTAGATGTTCACACAGGAAATAACCAGCGACAACACAAGAGCACTTCTGATACAGCGATTCTCGGTGTTGATATGGAAAGCATTCAGGATGGAGACAGTGATGAAGATACATCAGGCCCGGTAAGAGTTTAATTACTGCTTATTTAAATTTTTCTTATTTTAAAATTTGAAGTTCTCATGAACTAAAGTTATCAAGGGTCTCTAGCTCAAATTATTTTTGTCTAATTGAAATTTTTTTTAAATGTATAAGAGATAACTTCCTTATGCTAATTTTGCTCTTGGTTGTGATTTGTCAAGAAGAGGATTGACTGAATCTTCACTCTGCTTCCCTTTTTCTTCTTCTCACTTTATTGTATTTGTTTTTGAGTTCACTCATACTTTATGGCATCGTGCTCACCTTTCTGCGTTTATGTACAGTATACCAAAACAAGTTGGCCTATGGGACATATGGCATTTGAGTGATCCTTGATGTCAGGGTGTGAAAATCATTATTTGATTGCATTGTTGTGCTAAATATTTCATTTAACACAAAAAGGAGACGTAATGGAATAGAGAAGATACATGAGAAACACTTATTAGTTCTATTTAAAATAATAGAATCAGTTTAAGGATCAGTTTAAGAATTAAGGATCTAATTCTTTTGACTTCTATTGCTACCAGGAGTGTTGAACTTCATTTAAAGTGACAAATTTTATGCAAGATAAGATGAAACTGTACCATGTGACAAAAAGTTGATGGAACTAAGAGAACAGAAAATGAATGTAGGGAAAGGGAGATAGGATAATTGAGGCATTGTTGTTATGAAATAGTATTCAAATTATGCTTTATTGTTCCAGAGATAAGAACTAGGCCCTATGGTGGGACAGCATAGGGTAAGTCATAAATACATTGCACCTGGGGTTGGAAGCCTAGGTTTTAGGCATGACCTCTAAGAAACCATGTGCTTTAAATAAGCAAATCACCTACAGTGAGCGGATTGGATAAGACTTGTGGTTCTCAAATTTTAGCCTGTATAGTATTAGAATTACCTGGAGGGCTTGTTAAAACTCCATTGCAGGGCTTCACCACCAGTGTTTTTGATTTAAAAGTTTTGGAATGGGTATAGAATTTGCATGTGTAACATGGTTTTTTTAAAGACACTGATGCTGTTGGTCCTGGATTGCACTTGGAGAACCACCAGATTAGATTATCTCTTTGGCCCATCAGACTCAGATTCTGAGTATATGAGGTTAATGTAAAGCAGATATTAGTTTGATGTAAGAAAATAGGGTCAGAAATTAGAACATGAGGTAGTGAGTACTGGAGATAGTCAAGCAGAGTCATAAATGCTCAGCATACTTTTTTTTTAGGACATACTGAAAGATCTAACACCTTGTATTTCACTCTTTTGTTCTCTTTCATTAATTACCTTTTCGAAGTAAAATGACCAAGGCTTTGTCGTGCCACGCTTTAGGAACTGTATAAGCGTATTAATCTTCCCAAATGAAGGAAGTGCTTTTGTTGCATCACAGACAAGCCTTGGACTGTAAGTCTAGAATTTTATTATATTTTCTGGGAAATTTATTAAATTTTCTCTCTCAGCCCTTTTATTAAATATTTTAACTTCATAAAATGTTTCTGAACAATTTGTTATATTTTTGAGCAAATTTTAGGCTTACAGGGGAGATGGAAAAATATTACAAAGGCTTTCTGTATGTCTTTCAGCTTCCTCTTATGTTGGTATCGTACATAACCATAAGAACCTTTATCAAACTAAGAAGTTAACTTTGGTATAATACTATTAACTAAAGTACAGAATTTTTAAGGAGTTCACCAGTTTTTCCACTAATGTCCTTTTTCTGCTTCTATATGCATTTCAGGATCACACAGTGCGTTTAGTTGTCATGACTGTAGTCTCCTCAAATCTGTGACATTTCTTGTCTTTCATGACCTTGACACTTTTGAAGACTACTAGACAGCTACTTTGTATAATGTCCCTCAGTTTGGGTTTATTTGCTATTTTATCATGATTTAAGGCCTTGCATTTTGGGGAAGGATACCACAGAAGTTAATGGGCCTTCCTTGGTGCATCTATCAGGGTCTACATGATGGTATATTTTACTGGTGATGTTGACCGTAATCACTTGGCTAAGGTTGTGTCTGCCAGAATTCTCTAATGTAAACTTAACTATTTTTTCCTTTATAATTAGTAAATATTTTGAGGAAGACACTTTGAGACTATGCAAATATCTGGTTTCTGTCATCAAGCATATATTTATTTATTTAAAATTTTTTTATTGTTAGTTTCAGGTGTGCAGAACAATGCAATAATTATCCTTTTCACCCTCACAAAGTAACAACCCCCCTCTCCCCATGTACTGCCCTCCCACCTCCGATATCATGCTTATCTATTACAATTCCATTGATTCCATTCCCACTCTCTACTCCATGTCCCGTGACTATATGTATATATAATTATAGTTGACATACAATATTATTCAACATCAGCTTCAGAAATACAGTGCGGTGGTCAGGCCTCTACACC